TGCAGTAAACTAAACATATAAGGATCAGTCATTTACCATGCTCAAGCAAACCGGTGCCCTTGAATTTCTCTTCCATCAATCCATCGATTCGAGTTGCCATCTCCGGAGTCAGATAGTTCTGCCAATCTCCGACCTTTCCTGTCCTGAAATACGCGCTATTCGGATAAAAACTCCAAGGAATGTCTTCTCTGTCTTTATCCCCTTTGTTGGCTTCAAGATTCTTCAACGTCTCGAAACTGCATAGATTCACAATTTTCTCAACAATCCCTTCCTTCTCTTCCTCAGCTGTGAATCCATAACTCATAAACTCAGCCAATCTCTTCACATACGGCAAAGGATCAGCTCTCATCGTCTCGTACTTGAGGAACAAGATCTGATCTGGATTCTCTTGGTAAGCATTCCAATACGACAAGACATGATCTAGATAAGGACCGTACCCGGAGAAACCTCGACAGAACATATCAAAAGACTCCTCAAGACTATTGAGAGGGCCATGGTCTGACTTTTGCTTATGGAAGAATGTCCACATGGAGAGGAATGTGTCCTTTGGGTCTCTCCAGATGTAAACCATCTTACAACCCGATTTCGTAATCGACTCGGGTAATAGCCCGTGTGGCATATGAGTCGAAAACAGAGTGTTCCTTTTATCATTGAGAACATCAACTTGAGGGAAGAAAGCAAATTCGATCTCAATGAAAGGAACAAGCTCGTGAGGGTTACGTTTTAAGAGAGGGTTTGACGAATCGTCGAAGCGAGACCGATTAGCTACGGCGAAAGCTAGTGCTTTGAGCCAAGTAGTACCTGACTTTGGGTAGGTACAAACGAAGAAATCAATAGGTCGCGCTTTGAAGAAGTCTTGCGCGTAAAGGCAACCTTCAAGGAGAGGCTGTATCATCCAGTGACCACCGTACTCTGTAAGCGGAGCTTTCGGTCTCCAGCCTTTCACGTGAGGAAACGTGGCGATTAGGTCTTGGTACCGTTTCTGATTTTTCTCGAACTCTGTTCGCTCTGTCTTGGTCTCGTCTAGGTGGTTCGGTACGGTCTTTTCGGTTAGGGTTTCTGATTCCATTGGAGACAGAGAACGTGGGAGATTTTACTTATACGTTTCAGATTTGTTGCGTATATATACACAAACGCCTAGAGTAACTCGAAAGGATATGAACAAAGAACACAAAATAGATTTGACTAGAGTGATGGTCAAATAGAGATCAGATTGAGTTTTGTCATGAGGCTTTTTACCCACGTGTTGATAAGTCAGAACCTCAATGATCAGAACTTTTTCGCTTTCTTACGATCCTCTCTCCTAAGGCGAAAATATAGCCCCCTCATTTCACTTCGCAACCCTAGTCGGCGGTGGCCACCGCCGGCGGTTCTCCAACTCCATGGCCAGAAAAAAGGGCAAATCGGGGCTCTTGATACACCCTACAAAGATCATTCCAAACCCGACACCTAAAAATCAGTGGTGGTTCAGGAAGTTCCCTCTTCCCAATCAACTCCTCCGACATGGTGCCGAAGGTTCAAAACAGGACCGAGCACTCTCTCCAAATGTGGTACGCCATTCAAGCTCGAGAATGGCGAACTCTGTGTGACTATCCCGAACAAGGTGATAGAAGAAAGTAAGTAAGGCTCTGTGGAAAGATTTCTTCATTGGTCAGTTCCACCGCAAAGCTCCGTCATTTGGGAAAATCAAAGCCGTGGTTAACCTAATGTGGAGTAAATGGCATAGAGATATCTCTGTTACCAAACTCGACACAGAA